TCAAACAAATTGAAGTAACTTCATCTAGATTTTTATTTAAGGATTATTTAAATAGTAATCTTTTCTATAAAAATTTAAGTAATGTACAATATTTATTGAATCATCACTACTTGATATTCGTTAGTCTTATTTTTTTATTTATAATTAAACATCTTAGAGTTTCCATGTGTTAATTTTCATAAATAGTAATTGTATAAAATATTTAGTTCAGATAATTCCATATTTAAAGACTTCCATCACAATGCCCAGAAATAAAATCATTTGATTGTTAACCAAATAACAAAAAACTTACACCTCTTTTACAAGTCATTCACCTTAACATTTCTATTCTACCTTCTTAGAATAAATAAACTGTAATCATATCATTTCCCCCTGTTAACAGTAAAAATCCATTTCTATTAAATGCCATGGAATATATTTATTATATATCTGCTAAAAAGGGTCTTAATATTGATAAACCTGTTAAACTTTCAAGCTGATTTAATAAACTTTTAATTTATATTTATTTATTCTCATTCTACTTTTATAGAAACCTTATTTATTTTATGTTCATCACCATCTTCTTATCTAGTATTAATTTTTATAACATTCTTGCATATATATCTAGGCATTTTATTGTTGATCTAATTTCTGATATTATTTTTGAACCCAAGTTTTAATGAAGTATTCTATATCTAATCCACTTGATTAACACTCTTAACATGAAATTCTTTTACTTTTTGGAACATTCTTTTCGATATTAATAGTTTCTACTATCTTCTTATGTCAGGACATTAAATTAGCTTAAATTTTTATTTAATTTAATAAATATATACTTCTAATTAATTTTTTTTATAGTTGAGGTATCAATATAGCATTCCAACAATTTTCTTAACTAAATTTAGCTATTTCAATCACTTTATCAACTAATTTAAAGTTCATTAATTAATCTACATATTATTTTAATTGTCAATTGGTAATAAGTATACCCTAATTATTAAACTTCATAAGTTATTTTTAATTCACTATCTTTTAACCAATCTTTATCACTCCTTTGTCTATAGTCAAATATATTCAGAAAGTTTTTTTCATTTTTTAATCCAAGTCACTGATATTAGGCTTTCCTACAATTTCTAAACATCTTTTAGAATTTAATTTAATAGATTATTCAAATTGTTATTCATCAATATACTATTCAATAGATTAGAATTTTTTTTAAATCTCAAATAAAGATCCAAAACTCTTTCTATCTTTTTAGTATAATTATTTAGAAAAATTCTGTTTTATATAAAATTAATCCACCTCTTATTTAGGTAGAATATTATATTTCATAATCTACTTTATTGTAAGGGTTTTGAATGTTACCATATTAGATTAAGGAATTAGGTTGTAAATCAAAGTTTTGGATCCATAACTGCAAAGATATAAGTTATTCAATTACGTCTTTTAGCATGACTAAGAAAATAGTAGATAAATTTAATTTTTATTAATTATATTTTAACCCAAAATAACCAAAATAAATAAACTTTTAAAAGTTTATTTAAATTAGTATAGACATTTTGCTAATAAAAGCTCTTCCAAGATTTCATCCTATAATTTGAGATTCTAACAATTAGTAAATATAAGATTATTTGATTTTGAATCTAATTGATAACATAAATGAGACTAATTTAATTCCAGTTTAAAAATTCAATTTTAATAATAATTCTATTGAGATTTAAATTTATCTGATTTCATTAGAAAATATACTACTATTTAAATAAAATCAATTGAAGACATAAACTATTGACTGCAATTATAATTGCATTAATTATTGATTAATTAAATCAATTTAAAAATATTTTATTTTTTAATTTTACTTCTAATTATTACAAATTTCTCTTTTTAAATATTTTTAACATTAAACCTTAAAGAATGTTAACCCAAATTGTAAAGAAATTTTAATCATCAAGGATCTTATTTACCTATAAAAAAGTATCATAAGTTTTTTTCATATTTAATTCTATTAAAATATAATTATAAAGAAAAAGAAAGATATTTTTATATTATTGCCCATTTTATAAAAATTAATTATGAAAATTTGTATTAAATATTAAAGTTCATCAAATTACTTCTGTTTTTACATTATCTATATATTCATCTAATTTTTATAAGAACTTCTCATCCATAATTATATCAAATATTTGATCTAAAGCTTTCATATTTATATAAAATTTTTGATAATGTTATAATGGATACGGGCCTTTGATAGGTGAATCTCCTATTTGATTTATAAATAAAGTATTGGTTATAAAATAATAAGAAGTGGAATATATTATTAAAACTTAGCTTTTTTCAACATCTAGAAACACACAATTCCTTAAATGTTTTTTCTGAGAGTGTCTTTATAAATTTCCGAGATCGCCCTTAAAATTAAATTAATTTATAATTACTTGACTTAATTTTCCACAAAATTTTGGACACATTTTTTTGAGACATATAAGGCAAATATATTATTCTTGATATTGAGTCTACAATTTCAATTTAGGAAATTAGCAATTTTTCTTTTAACAAGGTAGTAAGTAATTCTTAGCTAAAAATGAACTAAAATTATTAGTTAAGAGATTTAATCTTTATTTTTTGAATAAATCCTTAATTACTTAGATGTCATAAGGTAATAATTTATTATTAAAATATTTATTGATTTTTCTTTATGTCAATACTTCAAATATTGCTTTAGCCAATTCAATATTTTGATTTAGTAATATTTAAAGTTTATAATAAAAATTATTAATATTATGCTCTTTTATCAGATGTGTTTAAATAAATTTTAAAATTTGAAATAACATTTCGGTTTCATTTAATTAGATGTTTTCAATTAGATTAGAATCCAACTTTTTATATAACAATCTCATTAAATGTATAATTTTTTATAGAAATAGATTTTGATTTCTTTAAATAAAATTTTCTAAATCACTCAATAATTAAAATATTAAATTACATAATATTTAGGATAAAATTTCATCAAGAAATGAATAAATATATTCCTAAGTCCAAAATTTTTCTGCAACAATTTCTAAAACATTGTCTTAAAGTGATTCTTAGAAAATATTCAATGAAAATTCAAAATCTAAAGTGTCAATATTTTACATGTTATAAGAATTTGGTAACATAAAATTATAATGTGAATAGCACAAAGGGCATTATAAATAATTATGCTCCTTTCTGTTTTAAGAATAGATTTATTTTTTCAAACAATCAGCATGAAAAGTATGATTACAATTTGAAACATGAACGGATAGAATTTTGATTTCTTATGTAGGTTACAATTAAAAAATATTTAAATATTAATAGACATTTGTGTATTAAATTAATATTGGCAAGTATTAAAGATCCTCTTTTTCAAATGGTAATTTACATAATAAACATTTTTCATCATTATCTTCTATAAGTTATTTATTATTACTAATCTTGCTAATAAAATTATCTTACATTTAATTGAATTTTTATTTTAATTATTATTTATGTATTTAGTTTTTTTCAGATTTAAATTATTATTTTTAATGATCAGTTTCATCCAATTTTTAAGTTATACTTTAATTTTTTAATCTTTAGCAATAGACTTGGAAAAAGCCCTCTTAAGTATGATTTATTTTTTAACTTGATAAAATTGTTTAGCAATAATGTAATATTTTATCCAATCTGGTTTAAATCATAATATTTTAGGTCTTAAAAAATGAATTCGATAAAATTAACAAATTAATATATACTGCATTGTCTTATAAAATCTAAATTAATTATTCTACTCTTATATCAAAATCAATTTCTTATAAAAAAATATTTTCTAAATCCTTTAGAATTCTCTCAAGTAAATATTATTAATTATCAAGTGATATTGCTTTAAGTATTTCATATCTAATATTAGTCAGAGTGGATTTATCTGTATTATAATATTATAATTCATATTATAATGATGATCCAAAGAATTCAGCATATTTATCATTCTACATTTATAATTTATCATTAATTTTTTCTTTAATCTATTCATTTTATTAGGCATAAATTGGTTCATAAATAGATAATTTAACTTCTTTTTTTAATTATAATTATCCATTATCTTAATTAATTTCACAACAACTCAATATAAATGTTTCAAAATCTTTATAATTATAAGTACAAAATGTTTTAAGTATACTCTTCATTTCATTCACTTAGTAAAATGTTTAAGAATAAAATATTGTTTAAAATAATTTATGCAATCCTTTTTATAATTATGCAGGTAATTAATTCCCAAAAATGCTTTGAACACATTATATTAAATCATTATCAGTTTAAGCTATTGTACAAATTAACAAAGTAGAATTTTCATTTTATTTAAGATGAGGTAGGATTTCAATATAATACTAAACAATATCATTGATTCCCTATTCTTAAAATAGAAAAGCATAAATCTAGATATACGCTATATCAACCTTTTAAAGGGATACTTCATCATCTAAATTCTTCAAAAGGTCTTATTTCCCGAAGTAGTATTCATAATCTGATAAAATCTTATAATTTAAAATGACCCTTTTTAAGATAGAACTCATAACTAATCTTAATTATTAATCTGTTTATCCACTTATCTGTAGGATATTATCATATGCTTCTTTAGAATTTGAAAAATTCATTAAGTATATTGATAACACAATTATGAAATTTCTATCGCTTAACACTATATTAGAAATGATTAATTGCTGTTTAGATTAATATTTTAAATTGAATACAGTTACTAAACTATTAAGGAAATAATGTAAGATTATTCTAAATATATTTTAAACTTCATTTGAACTTAAATGACCAATAGCCAATATCATGGATTTTAAATCGCATCTAAATGAGGATAAATTTTATAATAAAAGAATTAATAAGCAATTTATTGATATTTCACTCTCTTTACCTATTTGTGATTCGAAATTTAAATTCTTCTTTTGCTCACATGGAATTCTCCTAGTTAATGTATAAATTAATAAAGATTAATTTAATAATTTCTAAAACACTTGTTAATTTGGATTTAATATTTGAGATTAAAAGGAATGAACATCTATTGAAAGAATTTCATAAATCTAATTAACTAATCCTTAAAGACTTGATTTGCATTTCCTCATTAATTCTAAAAAATAACAAATACTATTAGATATTACAAAAGAAGGTAAGATTGTTAATGGACTAAATTATTTATTATTTTTACATTTTTAAGAACAAATTATAGATATTATCAAGTAGATTATAGCATATTGGATTTCTGATATTTTAGTATAACTTTATAATTTCAATGTAGCCTCTTGAAATAAAACTATAAAACATTTCTGCAACTTTACTCTTTATTATTTTATTCTCAAATATAGTTTATTTTATTTAGCTACATGCAAGTATTTGCTCGATTAAAACAGTTAATTTTTAATCCTTACTTTCCTAATATATTTAAAAATAGAAATTTTGATTATTAGTGTTAATTAGTTTGTAGGATTAAATGAAAAGATAGAATTGTGAAAAATTTTAGATCACAACTTTAACAAGATAGGATCGAAATTCATCCTCTTCAAAGAAAAGAGGAAAAAATTTTGAAATATCCTATTCAAATTAAAGTGATCCAACTAAATGTGCACTTTATTTAAGATATTATTCCAAAAGTGAAGTTGATCCAGTCTCTTTATCATTTATTTTACATTAAATTTCTTACTTTAAAATTTTAGCAGTTAATTAACCCCAGACTATATTATCAGTTGTTATAATTTCTAAGCATCTCAATATTAATTTATGAATTTATTTTGCTTAATTCATAGAATCCTAAATAAATGAGAAATGATTTCTATTAGAATAATAATAATTCTTTAAAATATCATTGTTAAAATTTTCTATTATTTTTTCTATATTCTCTACTAGATCAGCAGGATAATCAACAATTTATTCTAATTTCTTCTATAATAATCCAAAAGATATCATTAAAAATTATTCATAATTTTTAATAATTCTATCATCTAATATTATAATTTTATTTACAACCTAATTAATCAATCTTTAACGTTATGGAAAAATGATTATGTTTCGAACACATTGAATTGATATCAAAAGTCATAGTATCACCACAATTGCAAAATCCTGGCATTTTAGATTGATTTTACTTAAAAAAGACAGCATGATCTAACATAATAATTTTAAATTAACTTTTATGAATTTCAGGAATGAAACACTCTTTACAAATGGTATGGCTAGGATCTTTGCAACAATCAAAACATTAGTAAAACATTTCTGATTTTTCAATAGTTTTTGCACATAATTATTTTGATCCATAACCATTGAATTTAACTATTGTATTCTGATATTCTTCTTAAGTGATTTTTAAAATGTCTAATATTAATTCTTTATCCTCATAATCATCAATATCATTTGAAACTTTTAAAATACTATCTTCTGTACTTAAAATTTACATTATTATATTTATATTTAATTATTAATAAAACATTTATAGAAGAACATAAAATATCATTTAATAGTTGGAAAATATCCTTAATTTATTTTCAATAACATATATAATAAACTTTATATTTAAATTATCTAATTATATATGTATTAAAAATTAAGGTAATCATCATCATCTATAATTTATTATGACATTATTTAAATTTTGAGTGATATTAATATCTTGATAACAATTATATTTGAAATACTATTACTATTAGATGGCCATTTATTTAAATAATTATTCTTGATTTAATTATTCAGCTCCTTATAAATATTACCATTAACTATTTTAGATATGTAAAACTTCCTGTCCTTTTAATCCAAGTATTTCATCATAAATAATAAAATTTTAATTGAATTTACCCAAATCTAAAAGATATTATTATTGTTCAGAATCACTTTTCATCAATTATTTTTAAGTGTAAACATATTTGTAAAATAATGTAAATAGTTAAGGATCAAAATTCTAAGTATCTAAACAAAATGGTATCCAAGATTGATAGATTTGATTAATTTATTATCTATTTTGAATAAAAAATGCTAAATCAGATCTATATCTTTAACACTAAATAATAATAGAATTATCTTATTCTTATTCTAAATAATTAGATAATTCTTTATAAATTAATTCTATATTTACAATCTAATTATTTCTGAAAAATAATGTAAAAATAGAATGTAATTTTTATAATAATATAGATCTAGTTTTATTTGAGTTGATTTTCATAATAAATTACCAAATTTTTGAAATTCTTTCTTTAGATTAATCGAAATTATTTAATTATGTTAAAATAGCTATTATAATTAATTCTATCTAAATATACTAATATAAATCATCAATATCCACTAATTTTAAAGCTATAAATGCAAATTCTAAAGATTTTTCAAATTCTTTTATAGAATAGCAATATTAAGAATAATGAAAATAAAGTTCCCAAAAATAATTTGATTTCTGAAAATGAATTTCATAATATAAAATTGCTGTTTCATAAAAATCAATTATTTTCTATTTATCATCACTCATATCAATACGTTTAATTAATTACTATATGAAAATCTTAATTCCATAAATATCAGCCCCTCTTTATTCTAATTATTTTATCATTTCTTTAAAACTATTCAAATGGTCAATACCTTTCCAATTACATAGTTCAATCCATCTTGGATATAATGTTGATGAAAAAGAAAATACTTAGTCCTCTTGCTTAACGAAATATTGTATTTGATCATCCTTTGGAGTAAAATAATGCTTAATTATTGAGCTTTTGTACAACCAAGATAAATTGCCAAGAGATAAAAACAACCAGTTCTCTTTGTAGTCTACAAATGTTTAAGATTCATTAACCCAATATTCAAATTGATCTGCTACTTCCAACCATATTCTACCTCTTATAGATTTTATAATTTAAAGCTGGATGAATGTCACGTCGTCCATATTTTATTCATCATCTATTAAATTGATAATTAATTAATCAGCCTATTAATATTCTTCTTAAAACATTAAAATTGATAATTCCTATAGTTTTAATTTAAATTAATGTTCTTATGAAAATTATTAATATTATTAACAAAGTTTTAATTATTGATTTATATTACCTAGTCTAAACCAATATTCGGAAATTATTTCATATTATTCAAAAGTTGTTTTTGAAGTAATTTGAAGTATTTATATATTTGATTAAACAGTAAAGTATGGGTCCATTAATTCAATATACATTTTCAAATCATCATATTTTTTGGCTTCATTTTTTATGAAATTTTGGTAAGCCAATGTTTATGTTCTAAAGTTAAAGTGGAATAAATTAAAGAGAATAGGAATAATGTTTTCCTTTTTTGTACTGATTTATCTTAGTATAATTTTAATTTAGTTAAATCTTTCATCAAAAAATTATTTTTAAAGAGGAATTTTTGTAAAACTTCTTTATAAATATGCTTATAATTCAGATTAATTTTTATTAAGGATTTAGAATTCATAAGGTAATTATTTGTAAGTATTTTAATCATCCAACATATTTTATAACTAATAAAGTGTACTATCTTGTTTATATATTTTCAACATAGTTAGAGTAAAAGCATATATATCATTTTCAAATAGATCCATTTTTGATTTATTAAAATTTTTACCCAATAATTAAACTCGATATTTATATGGTAAGTATTAAGTAGTTCCTTCAATTTAAAAAACACCAAAAGACTTTTCATATTTTAGAGCACATCCAAAATCTCCAATAACCCATTATTTTTTATCAATATACATAATATTAGAAGGTTTAATATCTCTATGTGCTATTTTTAAAGAGTGCATTTTAATTATTGATTTCAAAATTTAATGATAAATGCTTTGAAATTCTTCATATTCTATTTAACTTAATTTGAATATAGATCCAAAGTTGTTAATGCAATTTCTAAACCAGCATAAGAAGTAAAAGTGTTAATATTTTCTTATAAAATAATAACTTTATCTATCAATTATACAAAATTCATAGGAAATATTTTATTTAAAACCTTCTATATCTTATACTCATTTAATTGTTATATAAACTCTTCAAAATTATCGATTTTTTATACTTTTACAACACAAGGAATACCAAAAGTATGTTCGGCATAAAAGACTTATCCATAACCTCCTGAACCAGCAAATTCATGTTAAATTTCTTATCTATTTTTTTAATATTATTTAATCATTAATGACATGAGAAATGGAGCTCGTTAAGCTATCTAAAATATTTAAATATGATCTTTCATTATTTAGATAGTTTTTCTATAATTTAAACTTTCCAAAACTGATAATTATTGAACATTAAAACAATTATAACCAATAGTTGACTTTTCAGATTTTTCTGAATTCTCCATAAAATGATTTAAATATTAATCACAATTTACAATATAAATATTCAATTAAATATACAACCTAAATAGATAATAAATAAATTGTTGAATATTAGAAATTTTTCTAAACTTGTATAATAATGCTTTCAAATTCTTAGTGTTATTTTAGCACTATATTTATTTGAAAAAACATACCAGATAACAAATATAAAGAAATTTTTTTATTTTACTCAATTAAAAAAATATGAAATTTCTTAATACATATTTTTATGTTTAAGTGATATATCTACAATTAAAAATTAATCATAAATTATAGATAAGTATAATTGAGAAAGATAATAAAATAATCATTTAATATTATGATGTCATTTATGTTATAAATTATCATTCGTGATATATATAATACACTTCTATATAAATATATTAGATTATATTAATCATTGTTCATTAATCAATTTTAAATATAAATTTAGATTGTAATCCATTACTCCATTTAATAGCATTACCTTATTGTTTTTAGAAACATACCACTTTTGTCTTTATGTTCTGTTGAGGATCACATACATAATTCAATCAGTATTAATCATTTAAATTATATCATCTTGATGAATTGTGATATATTATTAATTTTCCTAATTAATATTCAATATTTGTTACTTTTGAGGCATCCTACTCATTTAATATAACTTTGAATTCTTAATTTCCTTTAGCTAATAAGACAGATTTTCCATAATTATTATTTGTACATTAAATCCTTTTTAATTAACTACACTAATTGTATTAATAAATACTTTGAATAACTTGAATTAGGAAATGTAGTCATAGTTGGATAAATGAAATATTGATAATTAATTCTATAAAAATAAAATAGTAAAAATTCATGTAATTTACTTTATGACTCATTCTAATTTCTAAAATATATATAAATACTTTAGTAATAAAGATAATTTATATTTTTAAATTAAAGTTACTAATCTAAAAACTGATATTAATAGAATATGCAAGAATTGACTGAAAATTCTTAGATTATCAAAAAATATTCAAAAAGCAATAACTTATTTATTCTAAACACTCTATTATCTTTTGTAATTCTTTTATTGATTCTAGAATTAATCGTTTATATTTTGATCATTTTTCAATAATTCATTTAAAGTTTAATATATTTTAGAATTAAAAAAATAATATTAATTAAAATATTATTTGCAATCAGATAAATTACAATAATTTTCTATCTATATTATCCAAAAAATCTATATGTTGAAATTAAATTTAAAAATTATTATTCTTTAATTATATGATTATATTATAATTTCATCTAAATATATTAC